GGGGGCGGCGCAAGATGAGACTATTCCGGAGAACTTTAAGCACAAGAAAAGGAATCCCATCACAGTTCCAAGCAACTGGGAGTCTCAACCTATCCACAAATTATTCTTACATGCTACAGAACAGAAAGTTATTAGAGGCCCACAGCTCTTAGCTGTTCTGCATTTAAAAACATCAGTCTCACAGGTACTGTCACAAAACTCTATGCTTATTTGTGAGGACAGCAAATGACCTAACACCTGATTTTTTAAATTTTTTTTTCCTCTTACTGCAGGAGGGGAAATGAGCCAGTATCTTTTGCCCCACCCCGTAGATCTGGAGGCAGAAGAGTAATTGAGAATGCAACAGAAGGAGGTGATGAAGAAATGGATGCAAGAGATGGAGATTTCAATGGAACAAAAGCCAGTGAATAAACACGCTTAAAAAAATTGCACTGCAGCAAGGGGAGGGAGGACGATATTTAGCACTGTATGTCTACTCTTAGTGTCAAAGTCACATACACCCACTCCTCTGACAATGATAAAAGCACAACTGCCTTGTCTCCAATGTATAGACCGGCGTTAAAAGTACTCCAAAACTTATTTTACGATGAAGTGTACTTGACAAGGTGGGTTTGGTTTTGGTTTTGTTTTTTTTTTTTTAAACACTCGGAGTAATTCACTTTGAGAATCTTCCAGAAAGTGAGTTCTAGTACCTCAGATGATTTAAATCCCAGTGAACTATAGTTTACACAGGATTTGAGACTGTTGCAGGAAAAAAAAAAAAAAGGCATTGGTCAGTTAATCTTTTCTTAAACTTTCATTTTTTCTTGAGTATTCCATTAATATAGGGATTTTTCCTGTTTACTACACCCCTGATGCACCATTCACAAGGTGGAAGTGCCTTTTTAATCACTTACTGAAAAATAAAATATCATTTGTTCAAATTAAGTCAACTGTTACAGTTTTATATGCACCATGGATGTGCTTACACACTAATAAAAAGCTATAAGAACTAGTCCAGTATTCTTGTGTACAGCTGTCACTTGGGTGCAATACAGCATGCTCGAAGGGAATGGGGGATGCATTAGAGCTTCTTTAGAACTCAAACACTCTTTAGAAAAGGTCATCTGTGATTATTAGAACAAAACCTTGATTTTCTCCTAAGCAATCGCTTTTGAAGGAATAAAATAAAGTATGTTCACCAAGCTGAATGTAAAATGACATGAAGTACTTGGGACAAGTTTGATTACCTCATGGACACACAGTGCTAACTGAGGTGCCCTAGGATGTACCCGAGGGCTGGCAGACACGCAGGAGACTTGCAGCATGCTGTGCAGCAGCTGGAGAGCAGGCAGGGTCCTAAGTGCCTGTCCTTAGGCAACTGAACCCACACTTTCAGTCTGTACGTGTAGGGGTATTTCCAATCAAAGTCTCCAAAGCAGGCTGAAAACAATTAGAACTAGCAGCCCACACTGAATGCAGTGATCCAAGCCAAGCTACTCTGCATTAAGGGATGAGCACACAGTTTTTATTTTTGGAGCACTCCAACAGGACCACAGCCCACTCTTGGGAACTACCAGGACCTACCACAAATCCATGCAGCTCTAGTAGTTTCAGATAGCAGCTAGCTTTGTGGTCACACTGGGGCAGTAGAGTGCCACACACAGCAAAGCCAGGTGCAGAATTGCTCTAAAGCAAGTACAGAGAGCTTACTTGGTGTCTTAGATTGTACAGCAAGTGAACCCTAAGCAGTGTGACTACAGGAAGAGCAAGTCATGCAAAAACATCCATCTTGACAGCTAAAGCACTCATCTTCTAAATCTAAGCGTTGTTCCAGAAGGCACAGAGATCATGAACTGGAGATTTAGACTAATCACCATTCAGCCAGCAGAATCAGAGCCCAAAGAATTCTCTCTGCTCATGAAAGAGTAAGGGAAGAGATTAAACAAGAATCCATTTAAAGCAATTATTAAGACAAGCTGCAGAGGAGGGGGGGGTCAGGAGCCATCGGGTAAGACCTTGATCAGCCTTGATCATTGCTTGATCAGCCACGCAGTCCAGCTCTGTGAACATGCTCAAGAGCTGGCTGTTAAACACACAGCTTGTGAGCCTGCACGTGTGGGAAGACGACCAAGGAGGTCAGACTTCATATAGAATGGTCTTAAGCACTAAGGATTGGAGCAGAATCAGCAAACTGAACATGGAGCCCATCTAAAAGGAATTCACATACATAATGGTACAGGTTGGTCCGATGGTTAGAGCACTGCCCCATCACTTGGGAAACTCAGGCTCTAGTCCCTGTTCTGCAAAGCTTGTGACAAAATAGGGAGTCAGAGTTTCTTTAGTAACACTACAGAAAGCACCCTCCTGCAACAGTGGCCAAACTGAACCATTACAGCGCTGACTGTTCTGGACTAAATTATTTTGACAATTCTCCATAGCATATCCACCTCTAGTCTGTCTGATTATATCTGTAGTCATATTAATAATACCTCTGTAAAACACGTAATACCAGCACAGCCACATTTTCCAACTTTCTACCTTATCTCAATGCTGAGTCTCAATCTGACTGCAAATCAACTTGCTCACCCAGCAGACAAATTCTGGGAAAATAAGGAACATGTCTTGACTGATCCCCTCCAGGCTACACAGTCCACTGATCTGTAGTCCATGTGTCAGCACAACTAACAAAGTAGCCCACACACTTCTGCTCCTCATAGGTAAGAAAAGACTGTCAGCTCCCTGTGTGAGAGGACAAAAATCACGTTAAAAAGAGACAAGAGTTCAAGATCATAAGAGAGCAATGCCAATACTAAGCACTGTAAATCCCAAAGGCATCTTTAGCTATGGCAATATTTACATTCCTTAGGGTAGGAAACCATGAGAAGAAAGAGATGTACAAAAATCTGTGCATATGATTCAGCAAAACAAACATCTTTCAGCTTCATTCATCAGAAACATCTGTGCATAAACCACAGTGACAACTTGCAAAAAACCACTCAAAATGAATCAACAACTAGCATTAAAAATAAGCTTTATTCTGCTCTCCAGTTAAGCCAATTTTGTATATGGCCTGAATAATGGGAATGATCTGTGGTTATTTCTTATTCCAGAGAAACAGATGCATCAGTGGCTGTTTTCACAGCATTTAGAAAAAAAAAACACAACAAAAAACCTATTTATGCATTCTTTTGTCAATTAAGTTTTCCCCATCCCATTCCCCACAAAAAACATAAAAATTGCTTAATCATGATTATTTTGCAAGTACAGGCTTCCATAAAGTACATTAATACTGTGAGTGAACCTACTCCATTTAAAAAACAAATCAAAATACAATAATAGTCTATAGGGGAAAAAAAAAATTAAAAATAATTCTCTACTCATATACAGTTGTGTAGCATAAAGGACTTTTCAGGTTAAAAAAATATTTCTAAATTAGTAACAGCTGAAAGTGTATATTCTCACAGAAAAAATAAAACAAGATAAAAATCACTAATACCCAAGGCACATTAATGAAGTGAGGTTTAGAAAGCAGTAAAACCCACCTATTAAGATGTTAGAACTAGGAACTTAACCAGGTCTCGTGCTTCCTACAACAGCCAAGCTTTATGGGCCACAATATGGAAAAAAAAAAAAAAAAGACATCTATATATTAAGCCAGTCCAAAGTCTCCTACCTTGCTGTTAGCTCTGGGGCCTCCCGAGTACTCTAAGTATTAGGCACTCCTCACCTTTAACCATGACCTGTTCTTAAAGGCAAATCACTGCTTACAAAACCATCTTACCACTACAGAGGCAGGTTTTTCTGTAGCGAGATTCTGACCAGCAAACACCCCACAGAGCTGAGCAGCTTCCACACAGAAATACACCTTTCCCCACTTAAAACCACTCCTCTAATTTGGGTGACTGCAGCACACAACACCCATGATAGAAAGGCAGCACAACCAGAACTGAAGCCAGAACACCATGGTGCTGTACTAACACCAAACGCCAAAGCCTGAGGAGCTGCGCAGTTAATACTGTCTCTGTTGTAGGTAGAGGGACAATGGCTTTGACTGGCACTGTCATGAGAAGCCACTTTCAAGAAGCTATTTACAGCAACTGATGTAGGAAGCAATTCTAAGCCCTGCACTGCTAGGAAGCATTGCTTTATCACACTCCCACAGAAGTTGGTCAAGAGGCCAGACTGGGCAAGGCCACAGGAGGCCATTGCCAATTGCAGCTGCTTCTTCAGTTCTGACCTACCCTGAGACTGCTGCCTGATTGCTCATTGACATTCTCTTTAAAACTAAAGTTGGTTTTTTGTTGTTGTTGTTGTTTTTTGGGTTTGTTTTGTTTGTTTGTTTTTTCTTTTTCCAAAGGGAGCCAGACTTTTCATAGCAGCATCTTGACAACACTTTGCGAGGGATGGCTCATTGGTCCTGGAATATTTGAAGGCCGTGTTCCAAACTCCAGGCGTTTCACTAACCTGCAAATACAAAAAGAAGTTTGTGCATTTCTTGCTCAGTGTTACCATCTTCAGAGCAACTGTTCACTCCCAGAGTGCACCACTCAGCTTGAGAAATCAACAGATAAAGAATATCACTCCGAGCACTAAGTAAGCCCGTTACTCAACTGGGCTGAGTTTCCACTGTAACACAGAGCTGTTTCCCTCTGAGGAATGAGAAGCTATCTTTTACAGGTGTTGGAATTTCAGTTCCAGCACTGCAGCAGTAGATGTATAATCAGCTGCACAAATATGTAAATGTACAGACCTTGAGGCTTTCTTGTAGGAGCTTTCATGAAGTTTCTCCTCAGGCTGGGATACCAAGTACAATGTAGAGCACTCCTTCCACACAACAACTTTGGGCACTGGGTAACAGCACAAATCAGTATTCCCAGCGCAAGCATTTAGCTGAATAATTATGTCTGGAACAAACTGTACTATAGGCACTTAATTTACAGAGAATCTAAAGAATGTGGCGGCACAGGATTGGCAGCATTTAAGCAGACACTGAACTGCAATTCCTGATAACCTTACTGATTTTTCTTCATTTGTTTAAAAAAAAGACAACCAGTTCAAGTGTTCAGACAAATTTTTAAGTTGAGTCAGGTAACCTCCCGTCAGCTGCTCCTTGGAAACACATCTTAGCAACTGTAAAGCATTCTGATTGAGTGAACCCATTATTTGCCTCTTTTCCCCATTCTTCCATAAAGGAGAATCTTAACTGTGATAAGGGGAGTTCCTACATGCCATAATGTTCCTGAGACATCACTTGTACAACAGCATAAAGCACAGAACAAGTTGAGCCAAAAAACAGGAGCTCCTCTGTTGTTCTTCATCCCATTTAAACGCTGGGTTTACAATAAAAATGTATTTACTACATTTGCTCTGAATTTGTGGTTTTCAAAACTTGATTACAGCTAGTTTTTGAATTTCAGCAGCTACTGATTTCAAGTGTTAAACTGATCTAAAAACATTCAAATCAAACCTGAATTACTAAATTTCATATCTATTGAAAACAAATCTGTCTCTACAAAACAAAGATTTGACACTAAATAGAACAGTAAGTCACCAAGTTCCACACCAACATTTCTCACTAAGACACAACAGCAGAGAACAGCACTCACCCCGTATCACACAGAGGCTGATGAGGACTCAGACGTGTTTCAAGGACATCTCTGTTCATGTACATGGACACCGTGGTTCTGTTTGGAGACTGGTCATACACAAAGTTTCGGCAAGATGCGAGTTTGGACTCCAAAGCCTAAAGTAAACACAGATAAGGCAAGTGTCAGATACCACCCTTCTCTTTCACGAGATGGCATTGCGGCACACCAAAATGGCATTAAGAGTGTTTGGGGTTTTTTGTTCGTTTCTTTCTTTTAGAATGAGTTGTCTGGTAGAGAAACCTGCTAGACCCCAGTGCCTTGTGCTGGTTTTGGCTGGGACAAAGTTAATTTTCTTCATAGTAGCTCTTATGGGGCTACGTTTTGGATTTGTGCTGGAAACACTGTTGATAATACAGGGATGTTTCAGTTACTGCTGAGCAGTGCTTACACAGAGTCAAGGCATTTTCTGCTTCTTGCACCATCCCACCAGTGAGTAGGCTGGGGGTTCATAAGAAGCTGGGAGGGGCCACAGCTGGGACAGCTGATCCCAACTGACCAAAGGGATATTCCATACCATATGACATCATATTGGTATATAAAGCTGGGGGAAGAAGGAAGAGAGGACATGTTCAGAGACATGGCGTTTGTCTTTCCAAGTAGCCATTATGCACGATGGAGTCCTGCTTTCCTGGGGATGGCTGAACACCTGCCTGCTGATGGGAAGTAGTGAATGAAATCCTTCTTTTGCTTTGCTTGCATACACAGCTTTTGCTCTACCTATTAAACTGTCTTTATCTCAACCCACAAGTTTTCTCACTTTTACTCTTCCAATGCTATCCCCCATCCTGCTGGGGGAAGTGAGCAAGAGGCTGGGTGGTGCTTAGTTGCCAGCTGGGGTTAAACCACAACAGTTCTGAATTTCTGAAGAGATGAAGCTGGTCACCTCTCTAAAGCTGAACCCTTGTTTCTGTAAGCGAGGTTAAGGAGCTGATGCTGTTCACCAGCAAGAACACAAAATCTTCAGCTTCCTCAGGGAGATTTGGACATCTTTCTTACAGGCATCACTTCTTAGATTACTAAATGTTCCTTTGAGCTAACTGCTTCCCTAGACATATATTAGGTTGTACGTACTAGGTGGTACACCCAAGGGAACAGAGCCATGGACACCCCATTCTCAACCACAAGCTCCCATCCTAGATCACTCTGCCTTTGTTGCTGGATTACTCTTCGACTATATCAGTTCTGCAGCTCAGCTCATCAAAAAAATCATACAAATGCTTGTGCCAACACAGTACTGGAGCATAAGGGAGAAAACAGAAGGAAGTCACAGGATAACTTTTCCAGCATCAGCACTACCTTAAATGTCAAACTACAGCTTAACATGACATTAGGCGTTGCTCAGAAGACTACTGAACTCTTAAGGCAAACTTCCCCAGGCACAAGCCTGCTTTCTTCTCTGCCTTTCTTGGGAGTAGATCCCTCCTTAATTTACTCCTGTCGATTTTTCTTCCTGCACATGCGCTTTCAGAATATTGTAGAGGAAGAAAAGCAGAGCAGGGTCCATCCATTTGGATGAAACCTACAAAGTCCGGACCAAATTTCAAGGCCATGCGTAGCTAACCTGGGGGCAAGATACTTTTTCCAGTCTCCCCAGAGCAGAAGCACAAATACTGCTGGCTAGTTTCAGAGAGCTCTACCTTTCCAAGAGCATTGACTAGCAGGTAATCACTCACCCCCACTTTTCGCAGCAAGTCTCCCACGATGTTAAGTGCAGATATTCTTGCAGCAGGTGTGAGAGGGGTTGCACTGTAACTGTCCTCAAGACCTGCAGGGCAGGTTAAAAAAGGATACATTATTCGAAGAAAAAAAAAACCAAAGCGCTTTCATATTGGAAGTCAGAAGACAGCCTGACATACAGAACAGAGGAAACATTGATATCTTCACCTTTTTGTATCTCACCTCCAGATCTTTCATATCCATTAGGAACATGAAGCACTGTCTCCCTGAGATAGCTCAAGTTACACTGTCCTAAGCTAAAGCCTCAAGACATGCTGTGGCTTGGGTTTCTAGAGATCTGTTCTAACAGCCCACTCTGCACCTTTGTTGATACAGTGGGATGAGAAGGCTGTGTCCTCAGACAGGACCATCATCTCTCATTTTACTACAAATCTCCAGATCCTCTCACTTTTATAGAAGCACTAATTCCTCCACACAACACAATTTCAGGTTAAGCGTACTGAAGCCCACAATCAAACTTTGTTAGCGCTCAGAGCTATAATATCAAGTCATCAGAATGTGACAGTACAACTCTCTGCTTTTACATATACACATGAACAGTTACACAAATTTCTGTCTTTTTAAGTAAGATGATGGAAAAGTTAGTGTTAGAGGTTTGAAATATTGAAATTATCAGTGCTCACGAAAAATAAGTAACTGATACTGACATGAAAGCCGATACAGTCATTCAGTACAGACAGCTAGGATTACTTATCAGTGTCCTGCTGTTCCACCGTAAAAAGAAACCCCCTCTCAAAGGGCACCTACTCTTACAGAGAAACCAATTCAAGTAACACAAGTACAACATTAAAGATCACACTGTAAAGTCTTTCCTCTAAGTTAGCTCAACATCTCTGAGACAGATGTGATAGTAAAGTCCCAACAGCTCATCTTGTCCCTCGCGATTATTATTACTGGACAGTTCAAGTCAAATGGAAATGAACAGCTTATGAACAAGCTCCAAAAATCACAGTCTATGAATATGGAGACCATGGTGACTGGATTTAGGTGTATTTAACTGAAACACTCAATTCTGCTCCCTTCTTCTCATTCCTCCTTCAGCCAGAAACTACAGCAAAAACAAGAGCATCAAATAGTATTTCTGTGCTGGTTTCCTGTCAGTCACCTCTCCTAAACGTCGCAGGGGTGGGTATGTTGATGTTGGGTGCTCGGTGCACCGAGGGAGTTGAAGGCACAGATAAGGACGCTTGAACTGCAGTGTCTGTTCTTTCTGTTTCCAGGGTAGTTCGCACGGGTGTTTTGGGTTTCTCCTGTTTCTGCTGCACTGCAAGCTCTTGTCGTAGATCTACAAAGGAAGCAATACAAAGCAAGTCTTTGGAGTATGTATCGACAAAGATAAAAACAGGGGAGAATCTTTTGAGCAAAACATTCTTCTCCTTGTGGAGGTGGAGTCACTTATTCTTGTGAAGATTACTCCAGGCGTATGTTCAAAATCTGGACGATGACCAAAGGCTTTTCTAGGATTGTGGCTCAATGTTTTTGTAGTATTAGTTCAGTAGTTATTATCTGGCTTTAATTCTCACACCCTTGAGGCAGGGAATTAACTCCCTTCCAAATGTTACAGGCTGGTAAGCAGTGGCCCATCAAGACTGAGGCTAGGCAGCTTGGCACACCTTGGCTACACTCCAGCTCCCTGCCACATTAAGATCCTACCTATTGCACCCTTTTCTCTTCTACTCTGGTTTCCACATGAAGGAAATTTGAGCTGAGGCCAGGTGGAAGCCACACCATTATTTAGCCAAGGAACAGAGCACTTCCATCGCACAGCCTGGCTGTATCTTATGGAAAACACTCAAGGGCACAGAATCTGAGCAGATCTGAAAATAGAAGATGTTTTTCCAGCTCTATGGTCTCTCTCTTCTCATCCAGCATTACTGACAGATATCAAGACGCTAGCACATGAAGCTATTCAAAGGTAACGAGAAGTCTATCACAGCCCTCCTGTTCTACTGCCCAATTAGTGTTTCATTGACTCAACTTTTCACAGGCCAGGAAGCATTGAGGTTAATGGTTATTAAAGCTGACCTTATGGGTTACAGGAAGTCAGACCAGCACAAGCCCCAACTGGACTGGCTCTTCTTAACCCCCTAAGGTCCTGGAGCGCCACCACAGATTAGGAGAAGGCTGAAACAGACTTTTGCTTCTGTGAGCTGCTCTGAAACAAGGTCAGAAGTTCAAGGAGTGGAGGGGAAACAGCCTTGAAGCTTTCTTATTTGCTTCTATATTTCAGAGAGCAGATTTAAAAGATGCAAACTTAAAAGCCAAGCTCTAAGATATACGGAGAGGACTGAACAGCTACAAGCCAGGAGGGGAGAAAGGGAAAGATACAAGTAATTTCTGCCTAACCTCTAGCTTCATCTTTCAGGCGCTGCACAGACTCCAGAAGGTTTTCTTTCTCATCCAGCTCACTCTCCAGAAAAGCATTTCTTTCAATAGCCTGGTTTAAACGCTGTTCAAAATCCTCCAGTGACATTATAGTGGCTCTGAAAAAGAGTGCATAAGATGTCACTACCAGATCCTTCAAGAATATAGAGGAACTCCCTCTCACAAGAAAAGGGATAACATTGCAGTTTTGTTTGGTTTGCTTTGTTTTATTATTTTTTTTTTATTTTAGCTTGTAAGATATGAAAGAATGCAGTGGGGGGAGTGGAAGGGGGAAAAAAAAAATTTATCGCATTTCCCATCTGCCACAAACCTCTTCACCACAATCATCACCTAAGTGATTAGTTCAGAATGGCAGTGCTAACGACCACAGCATCCCAAACACCTCAGAGACACCAAACTCACATGACAGAACAGATGAGGAAAACACAGAAGGTGAGTCACCTTTTTGCTCTTTCCAAGTCATCATTTGCTTGCTCTAGTTCTCGAATGTATTTCTGAAGTTGATCTTTAATAGCTTTTGTCTGTGCCAAGTCATCTTCCAGTGCGGAGATTTGCCTGTATACTTCTGAATGCTGCATTTCAATCTTTTCCTAATCAAAGGCAAACCAAACAGTGTATTAGGGACTTAGCAATGCACGTTCTCTTTGTCCTCTTTCTGTGGCATTGTCTGAGCCCCTTCAAAGGCAGAGCCAGATTGTAGAGAGAGCGCAAAGTTAATCACAAAGTCCAAGTCTACACCATGTAGCTGCGTGCCTGGAAGCATGAAAATCAGCGTCGGGCAAAGTGGCAAGCACTGGGCAGGGGGCAAGCACCACTAGATCGATATCTGGTGTTAGGAGGATTGCCTGGAGGAGCATGAGACAGGGCAGAGGCCTCGTGGTCCCAGTCCCCCATTCCCTTTGCCCTGAACAAGAGGAGCCACTACCTCCCCCCATGCAGGTGTAAATTAACAGACTTTGTTGCATTAACATAAACCAATCTCTTAGTCCTAAACAAAAGGGAGCCACTACCTCCACCCATGAACAAACTTTGTGGCATTAACATAAGCGATTAAGATTGTCTATAGTCATCCCCACCCACATGTATACCCTGGTGATGTAATGTAAAATTTGAGTACAAATATCACCCCAAGTTTGGCCCAAAATTCGGGACAGGATCAACTCGGAACCATATCGACCACTGGATGGATTGACGAATTCGCTCATTCTCCACCCCCCCCGACTTGGGATGCCGTGTGGGTAAGATTATTTACCTCGGGTAATATTATTTACTTCAGCTAACGCTGAGAGATATACTTTTCCTCCCCGGGTGTATTTCACATTTTCTCCTCAGCTATATTTCTATGTTTCCTTGAGTGTATCCTTGATTCTTTTTTGTCGCAACTTTACTGTCTCTTGTTCCACTGTATCCCTGTTATACAAGCTTGTCTATTTGCCAAGTGGCCGGGCCTAAAGCAGGCAAGTTGTTATTGTTGTTAGTGTGTATGCGTGTGCATAGTGTGTGGTGTTGTTATATTAGTGATAAACCTTGTGTTATAACTGTAGCTTTTAATTTATCCCCGGCAATCCAAAAGAACTTGTAAATGTTGCTGTAAATAAACGATTACTATTTGTCTCCCAATTTGCGTCTGTCACACATTCAGTGCCAGCAGCACAAGACCGGATTGACTTCCCCGTTTTCGCAACACAGATGCTGTGAAGTTTTTTGAGAAACATCACCTTACACATGGTAAAACGCCAACAAAGCAAATTGCTCATACTTCTGGGCTGCCAGCAAACAAGAGCTCTTCCTGTCACTCCTTACCAAACAATGGGGAGCAGCTCCCAGCCTCCACAGCACAGGGCTATTCCTTGCTCTCCCAGACAGCAAGACTCCGCACAATTTCTGAGCCCCAAGGGCTTTAGCCACATGCAAAGCAGGATGCAAGGGAAGCCACTTATTTTCAACCCTAATAAACAGTAAAGAAGTACTTAGGAGCCTAAATAACAAGAAAAAAATACATCCAAGTGTGACACTGTTACATGTTGCTGAGGAACCAGCAGGATTCTCCACAGCCCTGTGGTTTTATTAGCCCAAAGCAGGTTCAAAGCCCTAGATGACAAAATGCTTCAGGATGTGAACCTAAACCAAACTGTCTCCTTTTACAGCAAGTACACAAGGGTACATTTAAGAAAGGCACAGGTGGGGAGGAAGGCTTAGCTTCTCCATCAAATATCTCTCTCCTGCTATTGCCACTATATGCGGAGTTAGCTCCGCAGCACACAGTCAACTGCGATGCTTTACACTTCACCACCTTGCTATCAGACTGTTATCACTGGTATTAATGACATTTAAAATGTGATTGAAGCAACTGGGAAGCTGCTAAGAGTTCTTTGTATGGTCCTGATCCAATTTTGGTGAAACAGCAACTACTAGATTTAGGAACTAGCTACTAGACAATGTCGCTCTGTCAGAAAGGGTGATGGATTGTGGTTTGGCCAGCAAACCATGAAGAACTGCTTGGGACTGACAAGATTAGAGAAGTAGGCAAAAGGTAATTCCAGCAAGGGGAGATCGCAACCACCAACTCAAAAAGGACAATAGAAGATGAGAAAGAGACTGCGCACTGATTTGCATTAGAAGCAAGGAAGAAGAACCAATCACCGAAGGGAATAATGATAAATATGTTTTAGTTAAGTGTATAATTATGGAAAACTCTGAGGTCAGGTGTGCTGTCTTGACACAGGCATCCATTAATGCACATCAATGAAATAAAATACCTCAACTCCGTGTGTATATTGGCATTTTGCACACCGGGTACCAGACCCTGCTTGTGGGACAACAAGATCACTCCAACACGCCAGACATTTTTTTGAAACTCAAAGATTGCTGTATAAGTAGCATTCCTGAAATGCTTTCTCCATCCAGAATTTAAGTACAACATACTTGAAGTCACTGAAAACAAATACACGCATTGGAATTCAAAAACCATGGCATGTAGTCTAGCATGACAGATAATTTGAAGACAGCTATTTTAGCACATGAAATGCATAGACAAGGAGGAGAGAAAGAGATATTCATTGTGAACTAGGAAATTCTTATTTGATTACGGTGTGGTGACACTGCCATAATTCCAGATCTCTGAAGCATAGTTACATGCTGAATTTAAGAGTCCCCAAGCTCTAAGAGGCGGATTACTTTCAACTAGCTTTTCAAGACTCTCTGTACAAGCCCTCCAAAGCACTATTTCCATTTATTTTTAGGTAGTGTGAACTCTGTTTTCAGACACACACACACACTAGGCTGGTAAGCTCAAAGCCACAAGCTGTGTGGGCCTGGCAAAGCTCACTAGTGTTGACCTAGATGCAGACCAACCCCTGATGGGCTCAGTTAACACTGCTGCTCAACAGCTTCACGAGTTTAATGGTTTGCTCTTGAGTTGATTCAAATAAAAGATCAGAACTGCAAGGTCTGAGTCTTTGTTTTTAGCCAATTGTAATAAACTATCAGCTGATCTGGTCATCAATGGAGTCTCTGTTCCTTCACTGCAGGCTGTTAACTGCAGTTTTCAGGCTACATGAATAGCCAATTGTTAAAAGGTTTGTTTCAAGCAGAATATCTTTTATATCTACTGTGAAGAATAATTTAAGATTTTCTAAAATATGTTTACCCTGCACTTTTTGAGGTTTTATGTAGTTTCCTACTATTTTCATTAATTGCTTTAGCTGGTTCATTGGCCCCTCCTCTCATCCCAGCTCCTCTAGAGAAAGAAAATAGTCCACACCCTCCTCAGTTAAATGAACTGCAGGTTTCATTTTTGTCAAACTTACACCTTCTCCCCAAACCCATTAGCTTCCCTGGGTTCATGTAGCTACATGGAACAGTAGACCAATACTCCATACAACATGCAGAGCACTTAATACTGCTAAGGCGCTAATACAACAACAAAGATCAGTGCAACATAACAAATATAATGAAACAAGCCTTGGAGGTTTTGCTATCAAAAAGCAGGGAGGATGACTAAGGTGGTGCTTAGAAGGACAGCACATCTGCTTGGAATGGAAGATTATTTCCTTAAGATAGTAATTTGGACAATAGTTTACACAAAAGGCATTGCAAACCTGGATTAATCCAGTGATTAACTACTCATAAATCATTAATCACACAAATACCTTCACTCCCATTAGGTCATTATTAAATCCAATTGAGTAGAAATGTAACTAAAATAATCTCGGCTTCCACAGATATTGACCTAGCCCTACCAAATACAGTGGTCATGTTTCTTGGGTGACTATACCTCACCTTTAAGTAACATACCAATCAGATCAAACTTTAAAAAGGCACGACAATTTCAGTGACAATTTTTTTCAAGTTCAAGAAAACCTTGCATTATCTCCTAAACCTGTCAACCAGCACAGGGGACTCTCAGACTGAAATGAAGCAGATTCATCAGTCTTCATACTCTCGATAGCTTCATTTTTTCTTAAGTCACTCCGGTTAGAAGTTCCATCTCAGTAAGTTCATATCCCTTATGTTTTATAATTATGGAAGTTAATGCTTTTCAGATGGTTTCACAGAAGGCTAACCAAGTGTAAAGAGGATAAATTATTTTTCCACAAGTACAGACAGATTCGGTAACGAAACCAGGACTGAAACTGTTTCATGCCTCTCAGTACTGTGTGTTACCCACCAGCTGCTGCTTCCCAGCTTATCTGGAATGACAGATAACAAATACACAACTATGTAAAAAGGGTTTAAAACTACTGAGTTTTCTTATGTAATGCAACAACACAGCTGGAATGTTTGTATTTTGACTGTTGTGCAATATTATTCACGTCTGCACAATACAGACAGCAAGAAAAGTGAAAAAAAGCACTAAGTAGATAGAAGAAGAAACAGAACAGCAGCTCTGGTATGTTCATGTTTACTCTCCTCCCTACTGCAAACAATTTTCTCCCATCTCAAATCTATCCTGTGTCCTGGTTTGGGCTAAAC